CCGAGCCATGCCCGGTTCAGCTGTTCTGCTGCGCGGTGGTAGGTCCGTCTCTGGTGGCGCGGGCAACGCGATCTCAGTCTGGGGGTTGTTGGCGACCGGCACTTTCTTAAAGAACAACAGCAGCGCGTCTTCTTCCGGGTCGCACCAAGTGCCAGCGTCCTCGCCGTCTAGCTCGAGAGTTAGGGTTTTTGTCTCGGGTTCACCTTCTGTTCCGCGCGATCCCTCGTCCGATCCGATCCGACTGGGGTCAATGCCTAGCGTTCCTTTTCGCGCTCGCTCCGGGCAGTCGCTACTCCCAATCGCCGTCTGCAGTCAGGTCAAGGATAACAACCACATAAACGTCCGCGCCTTACTAGGTCTTAACGGTAGCCACGAGGTACCGCGGCCTGACTCTCAAGCTCTAACGCCCACAAATCGCGCATTCGAACCACAGCACAAGGTGTGCTAACGCTAAGTCTGCCTTAGCTTCCCGAACTAATTCACCAAGTTCCGCTTATTCCCGCTCGAGTTGGGCCCTGCCTGTCTCTTCGTCGCCAACTCAGTCACCAAGCGCCCTACAGTCCGCTGGAGGTCGTCGTGCACGAATTTGCAGCCTGGGGGGCCGCCCATAGGGCATTGCTTTCCCAGGAGTGCCACGTTGCAGCAAATCGCCGGGCGAAGGGACTTGGCCGTCCGGAATAAAGTGGTATTATCCGGGCACAGCTCTGCCGGGAGGTTGCGCCTCCCGAGCTCGTCTCTCACTGCGTCGAAGGCCGCCTGCCACGGCGCGGGCCCTTGCCTGCCGCGTCCCGCTAGGGCGTCGTTTCGGCGGCCCCCGCCCTGCCGGCCCTCTTCCCCCGCTGGCCCGTTGCCGACGCTGCTTCTCATACCTGCCGCCTGGCCTCCGCTCATCGCCCCACCCCGGGGGTTGTCCTGGGTGCGTGAGCCCCCAGCTTGGCTCTCTTGCCAACCGCTTTGGAATTTTGCGTTGGCGAGAGTTGATCGCAGAAGTCTGACCGTATCGTCCACCCGTTCCAGCAGGCGCCAAAGGCAGCCCAGTTGTGGGCCGTAGCCTTTCGCCCACATTGCCTCCGTCATATCTGCTTCGCAAATGGCGTCTCTGGTGACCTCGTTTTCCGCGGCCAGTAGCCAAGCTCGTTGCGCTGCCCCCAGTTGGGGGTGATTCGGTTTCAGCAGGCTTAACGCGCAGTCGGCCAACTCTAACCCGCCCAGTAAGGTGGCCAGCATGTTGCTGACCGTGTAGATGTCCGCGTCGTAGGTCGCGGCATACGTAGTCAAAGGGGCGAGCAGCGCGTGAAGCTTCGTAGTGAGGCGCTCCGATATCCACTGGGCGTACGACAGCCCCAACGGGCTTGAGAGCGCTGTCTTGAGTTGTCGGATGAGGAGCTCCTCTACCCCCCGGATAACTTGTTCCACCGCCGCCGCGATGTTTGTAAGCGGGGCTCTGCTGCCCAATGACATCAGTACACCGCCCACAATAGCGTCTGCCAGGATGTGGGTATGTGTGGTGCCTCCCAAGTTGGCGTTCGCGCGTACTAAGGTCTCCCGATGGCGTTCCACCGCTACCGCTGCTGCCTGGGCGGCCAGGCGACCAGGGTTGCCTCCCAATCCCATGGGCGGGGGTTGTAGGTGCTGCAGCGCTGGCATCTGCACGATCCTACGGGTAGTCATGCCTCGGGCGTCGGATTCTATCGGTCCAAAAAGCACGTTCCCAAGGAGAAGTTTACCCCCCGGCTGGGGCAAACCGTCTGATTCTGCCGCTTGGCTCCAGTGGCCCGGCGCTGGCGCTGGGTGGGCTACCGTTTGCGTTGCGCGTTTCGGGGCGAACGGAATGCCCATATTTTCCCAGCTGAGGTGGCCTGTCGCTGCCGGGTGTAGATCGCTGCTCTCGCGTTGTCTCGCCAATGCTGGGTACTCCTGGCGTTCCTCGACGGGGTAGGGTGGGGCCACTACGCCGGCGGTACGCCAAACACCAGCCTCGGGTGCGGGGTGGCCATCCCGCTCCGTGGCGCCGCTGCTCGGGTACTCGTTCGCGGGCAGACTCGGGGGCCGGGCTACCTGTCTCTCCTCCAGAGAGGTGGGAAACCGGGGCCCCGAGGGCTCGTGTAACTGTCTACCGCCTACTGGCGCGTTTCCGAGCCTCGAAGTCAGGTTGGTGCTTTCCAGGTCTAGCATGCCCGCGGCGTGCGCCGCCAGCAGCCCTTCTAGCCCGTGCTGGTGGAGGATCTGGTGGCATAGG